TTTTTGTTGACATTAGTCTCTGTGAAGACTCTAAAAATGCTGGCTATCTCTCCTCGGAAAAAAATAAAAAACGACTAATAAAAAAAAAAAAAAAAAAAAAAAAAAAGCAAACAAAAACAAATCCTTCTTTTAATGGGAAATCTCATTTCCTGATTAGTCCATATTTAGATAAATGGGAAAAGACATAGCCAGCATTTTTAGAGTCTTCACAGAGACTAATGTCAACAAAAAATTTAATTTGTCAATCTTGTATTTTAAAGTCACGCTTTTGAGATTACTATCTCAGGTCTTCTTTAATATGGGAACTGCAAAATATAACTGCCATTACCTGGTAATGAGAGTTAAAGAATAGAGTCTTCATGTAAAGGTTAGGACATAATTTTCTAATAGTCCTTTAAAGACAGACTTTCAAAATGTTTGGTTCTAATAATCCCATGCTGTGAGTAGATTGATTACTCTTCAGTTTGTAAATATAAGTGGGCTATGTGAAATTTCTTAACTGATCAAGATTTTGGATTTCCAGTTATGGATGAAAATCATCTCAACTTAACTTTACCCCCATTATGATATGCAGGGTGTGTAGACAAAAGCCTTTTATTAGCTAACTATATGAAAGGATAAACACTATAATAATTCATGTGATTCAAAATGAGCAAAAGCAAAAGACTAGCTTCCCCTCAAGAAGAAAAATTTCAGACCTATGAAAAGGACAATACTAATAAAAAAAATGTATTTCCTTAGAAGCATTCAGAATGTCAATAAAACAGCTGCAACTTTTTTTTTAATAATTACAGAGTGTCATTCAGTTAACAGAACAACAATTATTTTATATAAGCTGCATCAGAGACAACTGAAGATGAAAAACTACCATCCTTAGATGTAACTAATTTGTGCTGTGCACCAAAGAACCTGCTTTACATTTCCAGGCCAGTTTGCATCCCCCACCCTGTACCATGCAAGGTTAGTGGCTATCGAAAATACCACCCAGATAGGGGTGTCTAAAGACACATTCGGTAGTGTGTAAACTACATAAAAAAAGACACTGTACAGTTTAAAACAAATCTTACACAGCCTTACATTTCCATTTTTTTCTTTGAAAGGAGTGAGTTGTGTATGGGAGGGTTAAATGCTTTATAGACAAGAAAAAAAAACTGCACTAGAATCAACTTATCTTCTTCATCTTCCTCCTCCTCATCATCCTCTTCCTCCTTTTGCATTTTTTCAGCCTTGACAACTCCCTTTTTTGCTGCATCAGGCTTTCCTTTAGCTCGATATGCAGCAATATCCTTTTCATATTTTTCCTTCAGCTTCGAAGCCTTCTTTTCATAAGGCTGCTTGTCATCTGCAGCAGTGTTACTCCACATCTCTCCCAGTTTCTTCACAACATCACCCACGGACAGGCCAAGATGTTCTCCTTTGATTTTTGGGCGATACTCAGAGCAGAACAGGAAAAAGGCCGAAGGAGGCCTCTTGGGTGCACTGGGATCCTTGAATTTCTTTTTTGGCTCCCCTTTAGGAGGGATATGGGTTTTCATTTCTCTTTCATAGCGGGCCTTGTCTGCCTTTGCCATATCTTCAATTTTCCTTTCTCTTTAGCAGGCATGGCCTTCCACCTCTCTGAGCACTTCTTAGAAAACTCTGAGAAGTTGACTGAAGCATCTGGGTGCTGCTTCTTATGTTCCTCCCAACAAGTTTGCACAAAAAATGCATATGATGATATTTTGCCTTTTGGCTTCTTAAGATCTCCTTTGCCCATGTTTAATCATTTTTCCTCAGCGAGGCAGAGTCACCCAGTGCTCATTCGGCTCTCACTTGCCCCTGCACTGTCTCTATGGAGCTCAATGTACTGCAATGGCTGTGAGAGCAGGAGCCAGATGCAGCCTCCTCACTCTCTCTGCTCTGTAACATTACCCTTCCTTGTTTTCATACAGTTTAATGATTTGTAGCAATATACTGTAATAGCTCAGCCTTTTAATTTGGGTTCTGCTGCACTTATAACAAAATTGCAAATACAGAGTGAATCACTGTTAATGAATAGGATTTGTCTTCTTAAGTGTGCTAGGGCAGGGAAACAAGTTGAATTCACTCTTAAGTCCTTTTTGCTCTGTGCTTCTGCTGTTCCCACTCCAGCTAAGGCTTTCATCACCTCAGCTGGACTATTATAATGTCCTTTTTGATTCTCTTTTTTCCCTCTCTCCTCTAAATTATTCTACACGCCACTGCCAATTACTATATGTCATCCTCCTGGTCAGAAGCTCCAGTGTCTCCCCAGAGCCCATGGGATAAAAGACAAAATCTTTAATAATTACATAGTGGCTCATGTCTGTAATCCCAGCACTTTGGGAGGTCAAGGTGGGCAGATCACAAGGTTGGGAGTTCAAGACCAGCTTGGCCAACATGGTGAAACCCCATCTGTACTAAAAATACAAAAAATTAGCAGGGCATGGTGGTGCATGCCTGTAATCCCAGCTACTCGGGAGGCTGAGGCAGGAATCGCTTGAACCTGGGAGGCAGAGGAGAGGTTGCAGTGAGCCGAAATCGTGCCACTGCACTTCAGCCTGGGTGACAGAGCAATATTCTGTCTTGTGGAAAAACAACAACAACAACAAACAACAACAATCAATGGCTTCCAAACTTTCACAATTGAACTTTATTTTCCTAAACTTTCCACTTCCCTGCCCCTGAAATCAGTGGTGATATTAAGGGAAGGCCTGTGGGCACTTTAACCTCCCTCAGAATATATTACTTAGGTCAATGAAAATCCACCCTCCATAGAAGTATTAGTATTGTTTGAAATTGAAAATATTCATTGTCCCTGTAATATAAAGTGTGAAAGAAAGCATCTTTAGGCAACATTGCTATTTTGAAAAAAAAATCAAGTAATGTATTACCAAGAAAATACAAATTACTGTGCATTTGCTATATAAGCCATTCAATAGCCCATAAAATACTCCTTTTATTCTAAAAGATTGTTTTTCTAAACATCTTAAAACTTTATTTTTTTCTCTTATTTCTGTGGCATAGATTAGTGTTGCTGATATCCCCAGATTTCATAGATGAAAGAGTTATACAACCATCAGCTACCTTTTCTTACCACAAAATATGAAAACAGTAGTTATTCCCAATCCAACCATCTTTGGGATTTAGGATGACAGTTGTCTACTTCATATTGGGTAAAGGTTTTGTGTGTTTTTAGGCAAAGGTTTTGTGTAATCATTCAAGAAAATGTATGGTTTGGTTTTAAAATGCTAAGAAAAGCATAAATATTCATCAATAAAAACTTGTTACATAATGAAACATCCATAAAATGGAATCCTATGGAACCATAAATAAGAATGACATAGCTATATCATCATGGACCACATAACAACATGTTCCGATCAACAATGAACCACATATAGGATGGTGGCCCCCGAAGATTATAATACCATATTTTTACTGTACCTTTTCTAAGTTTACACATGTTTAGATATACAACTTTTTACCACCGTGTTATAATTGCCTACAGTATTGAGTACAGGAACATGCTCTACAGGTTTGTAGCCCAGGTGCAACAGGCTATACCATATAGCTTAGGTGTCTGGTAGACTATACCATCTGTGTTTGTGTAAGTTCACTATAGGGTGTTCCAGCAAGGACAAACCTGTCTAATGGCACATTTCCCAGAACATATCCTCATTGTTAAGCGATGCATGACTGTATTTATGTATGCAAAAGCTTCCATGTTATAATGAAATAGGAAAAAAGCAAGGCACAGAGCATGCAAATATGCTCACATTTGAGGGTTTTGTTTTTGTTTTACAGGCAGGAGAGATAGCCTTAGAATTGTATGTATATAGAATAGTTCACACAAGACAGTAATGGCAACAGTTTCCTCTGCAGCAAAGACTAGGGTTCTGGGGAGGACTTAATCATTCTATAGTCTTTTGTGCTGTTTAACTTTTGTCTATACCTAAAGCATGTGAATTTTTTCAATTAAAACTGTTAATTAAACATTTTTAAAATAAAATTTATAATGAAATGTTCCCCTCATTTAATAACCCTTAAGCTAAGAAGGAAGTGAACTGTATCAACAGATATAGAAAAAACTAGGTCAGCACTTTTGAGTTAGAGGAACAGTGATTCTCTCTGAAACAGAAGAACATTCTTCAGTGACTGCATATCATTCAGAACTTAAGAAAAAAAAAAAAGACAAAGCAGGGACAGAAAAGCTATAATTAAAACCCAAACAGTTTCCTTCCAGAAATATGGGAAAAGGAAGTAGAAGAGAAGATGACCCTTAAGGAACATGGTATTTCCGAATGAGGCCACACAGTGCAGTTGTGCACATTGATAACAAGTTAGCTAGTTCCCAAGCTTCCATTTTTGCTGATGGTAGAAAACAATCTGCTAGGTTCCAGGTAAACTCAGCCACTCACAGGATTTTTCATAGTATCTCTTTAATATGAGCACTCAGTTAATTTAGGCTTCTCCTCCCTCACCCTTTCTTCTCTTATCCTCTTCTTAGCCAAATTTAAAAACACTTTTACTCTACCTATTATCTGTATTTCCCCCTAGAGAACCCCTTTGGGCCCCATCACTCTCTTGAAACACATTGTCAGGGTTGTCAAAAGACCTCCACGTTGCCAGGTTCGGAGGATCTTCTCTGTCCTTTTCTCGTTCCACTTCTCAGCAGCATTTGACAAGGCCAACCCATGGTTTTCTTAAACCACTCTCTTCTCAGCTTCTATGAAGACTCATCCTCCTTGCTTTCCTCCAAACCTCTAAATTCCAGAGTTCCTCAGGCATCAGAGAACCTTTTTTCTTCTCCCTTTACATTAATTCTCCAAGCCTGAAATTCCACGGATGTGTTGATGATGGCCTAGTTCACACGTCCAGCCCAGATTGTTTCTGGATTTCAGACACACACAAGCTTCCTACTTGACATCTGCACTCATATGTTTCCAGGATATCCCATACTTAGCATGTCCAGAACTGAACTCTTGGTCCCCTCATGTCTTGGAAACCTTAATCCTCTCTTGGCATTTTCTGTTTTAATAAGTGGCACCAGCATCCACCCAAGGATCCAAGCCAGAAGTCTGGAAGCCATTCCTGATGGTCTCCTCTCCCTCATCTTCCACATCCGATGCATCAGCAAGTTCTGTTTTGTCCTTCTGCACACATCTTGATTTTGTCCATTTCTCTTCCTCTTCATGCCACAACCCCAGTCCAGATAATCATCACCTCTGGCCTATAGTAGCCCCCTCACTGGTCCCTTCATGTCCCTTCTTGTGTCACTAGGCATATGGGACTCCCACCAGAGACAGTGATCAGTGTTAAAATAATAAACTGCTTCATGTCTTCTTTCTTCCCACTGACTTTAAAAAAAAAAAATGCAGACTCCCTCCCTGGCCATCAAAGCTCCGTATGACCTGTCTGTAGTCTATTTCTTCAGCTTCATCTCACATCATGATCCCCTTCCTCACTACAGTCCAGCTCACTGGGCAGATCTGATCTGCCTCCAGGACGTGGAAATGGTGTTTGCATTATGCTGTCCCCTCAGCCTGGAACACTTTTCTCATTCTTCAGGCCTTAACCATCAACTCTTCAGAAAGGCCATCACCCACCATCATATCCTTGAGTTCCTTTTCCTCTGCAATTTTGACCTGAAACAATCTATGTTTCCTTGTCTGTACTTATTTTTTATAGTTGAACTCCATCACTAGAATGAATGAACTCTCCATGAAGGTCATGTCTGTCTTGCCCACCTAATACATTCCTAGAAAGTGACACATGGAGGACATTTAATCAATAATGAATATTGCTGTGGATTTAGGAATGTGCAAATTTTTGCAACAATTTCTCTAACTTTGCCATGAATTTCCTTATAAAAATAAAATGCAAGTAATAAATATGCTCTTAGTAACTATAGTCTGGGAGGAAAAGCATTCATGAGTAGAAATGTATATGCCTATTTTTCTCAGTTATAAGTCAAATGCTATGAGATCATTGCTATCAGACAGTTTGTTAATACTAAACAACAATTTCATAAGATACAGACGAATAAGTAAAGTCTACATATTTAGTTCAAGCTATTGTATCAGTTGGGATAGATTAGATTATGATGCAGAAATGATCCCCACAACTTAGTGGCTTACAACCACAAAGGTTTCTTCCTCACTTGTGCTATACGACATGGGTCAGCTGCAGTCTGCTTTGTGTCCTCTTCACTCTAGGACCCAGGCTGACATAGCAGTTTTCATTTAGACATCCTGGAAGTTGACTTGGCAAACCACATTCTAGTTTCTAACTAGAAATACACATATCCTTTTGGCCCACATTTCACTGGCCAAAGAAAGTTACATGACATTGCTGAATTCAACAGGGTGGAGAAGTGAATCTTTGTTTGGAGAGGCACTTCACAGGTAGGAACACAAATAATATACATATTTTGAGATGAAGTCTTGCTCTTATCACCCAGGCTGGAGTGCAATGGCACGATCTCAGCTCACTGCAACCTCCATCTCTTGGGTTCAAGCAATTCTCCTGCCTCAGCCTCCTGAGTAGCTGGGATTACAGGCACCCACCACCATGCCTGGCTCATTTTTGTATTTTTAGTAGAGACGGGTTTTCGCCATGTTGGCCAGGCTGGTCTCAAACTCCTAACCTTGTGATCCACCCGCCTCAGCCTCCCAAAGTGCTGGGATTACGAGCATAAGCCACTGCACCCGGCCAGAATACAAATATTTAGTGTAAAAGTAATACAGTCTATTGCAG